GTTACAAAGCATCAGATCAGTGTCTGCCTCCATCGCTGACTGATGTGAGGCTAATACTGAGGGAACATTTTTATTACAAACATAGACTGTTAATATGAGCATGAGAAGATTACAGACTACCAACCACATGCTAACTTAAGCTTTAATTAATTAACTACAACATTAGTAACATGATAGATAGTTGGCTGTCAGAATGGTAAACTATATAAACAGTATTATTACTACAAACTATCCTAACCATCATAAGGCTAGCAATTAAAACCTTGATAAAAATTCTTCGGTCATCACCAATTTTATAACCAATCAAAAATGTCTCACATTGGTTAATTAATTTTAATGAATTTTAGTCTGAAAATGTAAATGACCATTTCGGTCACAGTTTTAAATTAGATTGACTTTCTGCTGCGGGAACGAGAGAAGACTTCCTCGTCTGAATCTTTTGTGATGGAAAGAGAGAAATTGATTAAAGGATGAATAAGATGAAGAAGATGATAAAACATTAACTAAATATAATCCTCTTATAATCTCAGCCCCAACTTATTTTCAGACTTTGCCTTTCAAGAAAAATAAGTGAATCAGCTGAGATGTGCAAAATGTGAAAGGACGTGAATGATGTTCACATCCTGACGCCTCTGTAGCCTCAACAGAGACTTGGTTTTACAGAGGATGTAGAATAGGAGAAAACCCACGCAGACACGACACTGACAGCCACTGCCACAATGTTTTCACATTTTCTGAATGTCACATAAAAACAACATAGCTCAAAACTGAAGCAGACTAAATTGTTTTAATATCTGGAAATTGATTTCCAAATGATACACGTGTGAATGGAACTCAATGGCTGCTCTAAAGCATTTAGAGCATCTTTTCGTACTTGTCTTGATAGAAGAGGTGAAGTCAAATGAAAGGCATACACCTCGGATTATGACGGCCTCCTCTGTTGCTACCTCTGGACTCAGGCAGTGGAATCTGAGAGACCTATCAGTCATTCAATCAGCCATTCTGACCAATGGGGTTTCCCTGCCTTGGCCTGTTGCTCGGAGTGGAGTGGAGTGGAGTGCTGGCATGTTGCTCATTTTAATCTGCTTAAGTATTCGCCCCCACACCAGTGTCAATGAGTCAGTACGTCAAAGAGATCGATTCCGGTGTTGCAGGTTTGCTGAGCGGCCAGGACTCTCTCTGCTGGAGCAAGGAAATGGATGTTAGATTCCACAATTCATCAGCCACTTCATGATAGCAGATTGAAAAGAGACCACTGGGACTCCAGCCATTACAATCTGTTCCTGTAGAAGTGACAGATGTTGGTGGTTATTTTATAGTTTGGTCATTACCTCCGCCATGGAGGTTGTTTTTTCATGGCTTTTATTTGTTTGTGTGATAGTTAGCAGCATTGCACAAAAACTACTGGACAGATTCCCATGAAACGCGGTGGAAGGGTGTGGTATGAGTCAGGAAAAACAGGCACATTTTAGTTAGTGCGGATAAAAACATAACCTCCTTGGCATGATAAGATGCTATGATGACACAGTGTGACCTTTATCACATTTTTTTTTTTTACAAATTACATACACATTGAGAATCTATCTATCCAGTATCTATTGATTTGCCTGACTTTAAGGAATTACATCTCAAGATCTGTATCCACATGAAATAAACAATGTAAAAGAAGAACAGTAACATCTACTTGCAGAAACAATGTCCAGGTGAAGTGCATTTAAAGCATTTGCATGGAGAAGCACTGAAGCTGTAGTGAATTGACCTTTGTGCTTTGATCATTTCCACGATATCCAGATAGAGAAGAAGGTTCAGGCTCACGTGTCTTCTGATACTCTTTGTCAAACAGGGACCAGGAATGAAAAGTGGCACCGGATGTTTCACTTAGACCACACTGCCTCAAAACGAGCAATTTTCATATTTCATATATTGATAATAGGATCATAATAATTTACAATAATATAGTGTATATCAGTTACATAATAGTTACATTATAAAGTCATTATCACTATAAAATCATATTATGTTATGTTGAATATATTTACAAAGTATCATTATCTACACACACCCTAATGTGATGTTATTTCCACCCCCTCACTTTTTAAACAGCACTGTCTTCATCGTTGTAACTGATGTTATCTGTATGGATGCACATTTTATTCCTCTTCTATGTCACTTTTCTGTTTATTTATCTGTTTATTTGTTTCTTGTCACACTATTTCACTAATAATGAAGTGTACGATGACGATGATGACAGATCATGACTTGTGTTGCTTGTTTATGATGGACATCCACGGTAAAAGTGTTTATATCAGATATAACACATATTGTCAACTGTAACATTTCCTTATAGCTCTTCATACTCAGGATATTGCTTGCTGAACACACGTTTTCTCAGCATGGTAAAGCTGGGTTTTTACTTATTAGTACCAAATGAATAAATTATTGTAACAAGTGCCTCAGTTTTTGTGTTTTACTCTGTGATTTCTCTGAGCTTTAGTGTTTCACAGTGATGTCTTTGCTCTTTTTCTGCTCTTTCAGTGTTTACAATGACATATTATTACAATGTATAATATGTTAACACTGAGGATGTCCCTATTGTGCTTTTGTTTGACCATGAGCTGCTGTTTATGTAAATTCCCATGGTAGTTACATCTCAATATAGATTTCTGTTGTTCCTATTAAAAGTTGCTCATGTTGAAACACAATCATTTGACATTTTTGAAAAACACCATATCATCTAAAGTGTGACCAAAAGAGAAAAAAAAATTGTAAAGTGTGAAATGTGCTGAAAGAACCTTGGAGGACAATAGTTTTTCTATCAATATTTTTGCAGTTGCAGCACCAGTTTGTCTCTTTCCTCTTTAGACTGAGAGAGATACTGCACAGTACACATGCGGCGCTGAGGTTAGCTGGCAGGGTTTATTCATCTCTAAAAAGTTTGGCCTCAGAGGGAGACACTTGGCAATGGAACAGAGACTGGACCTTTTCCCAGTGGCCCGAGGCCGTGGGACACTGTTCTGAGGCTGTTATCTGACCAGCTTTGTTGTTATTGTTGTGTAAAATAGATTTAATACTCTTTTCCTCACTTTGTTTTTCTCAAACCCTATTTTTTTTATCTTGAAAATGTTTTTGGAACAGTTAATCTGTTAGTGTGTAGGTTGTTTTTCCCAGGCTGCTGCTGTGGTTTTGGCTCCTGCTTATGATAATGGACAGTTCTGGTAACATCCATCCATCCATCCTTCCTTCCTGCTTATCCTTTAAGTGTCGATGGAGTGGCTGGTTTGAAAACAAAATATGTGAAACCATAAAGGCAAGTCATACAGAACAGGAAACTGTTCAGCTGCTCTTGGTCAGAACAACTGGAGAAACCTCAGCTGTGAAAGTAATATTATTATTACACAAGTTGGATGATGATGGTGGACCTTTATCTTTTTATCTTGCTGTTTGACCTTTTCTCTCCCCTCGGTGCTTTTACTCTTTCCCAGTTGCCTAAACATTCCACCAGAGTTGTGGACAAAGAAGTTTCATTAATAATCTTCAAAATTGGGAGGTTTTGACATAATGAAAAGAAGCTCACATTATGATGTCATAATACAAGTGTTGGTTCTATGTTATGTTTTATTTCTATGATGAATTCTACATTTTGTGTTTGAATTATACAGTGTTTATTTATAAACCTAGAATAAAACAGTTAAAGATTGAATTAAAAATCACTAATTAATTATCATTATTACTTACAGCAGCTTAGCACCAGAGCATGTAAAGTAACATTTAGTTGAACCGATGAATGAATGGATTTGAACACTAAACTAAGATGGCCCTGTCAAAGAGTAAACATAAACCAGTCTTCAGACTTTATGGATGAACACTTGAGCTTGTTACCAAGGGAGGTTATATTTTTATATCTTTATATGCCTTTAATTGTTCTGTTAACTTGACTTTACTGGAGCTCCTATGTGTTTTAAACCCTGCCTCTCTCGCAGGTCACAGACAGCCTGTAGCAGCTGTCCAGATGTGGGCTGCAGTATACCAACACCTTGCTCGTCCTTTTATTTTGCATTGAATTCATCCTGAATAAACCAGCAGGTGTGTAACACGTGACGCTCCAGCGCAGTGTAGCCTGACGTCTCTGCGCGTCCCCGTGCACAGGCCTCTACGAGGGAGCGCGCACTTGTACGGTCGCTCCCTCCCTCTCTGTCCACTTCCCTCAGCACACAGCCACGAAGCGCGACCCCGAGGTTGTGGCTGCGCACGTCTGCACTTCAAGTATTTCTACACTGTTGAGTATTTGCCACACAGTGCAAACATGATGCAAGCATGATGCAAGCATGATGCAAGCATGATGCAAGCATGAATTGTTTCTTACCAGGTGTTTGATTGATCATTATTGGGCCTGACTGCAACATTCAGGGATGAGAAGCGTAAAATAAGTTTTTGTGGTGACATGAACGTGATCGTGGTCAATCCTGAGTGTGATGTTCAGGGATGAAATAGTGAATCACTTCCTGTGAATAGAAGTGAGTTGTCTTTATAGTCATAGAGTCAGTTTCCCCTATGAGGCTCCTCTCTGCAGGTCAGATTGAAGCCTTCACTTCATTCATCGGCTCCTTGGATCCTAATCCTTCTGCTGTGACCCATTTCTCCCCCTCGGGTCTCATTTAACTTTGATCCAATCTAATCTAATGTCACTTTCTCGCGCATCTCACGCTTTTATTTCCCCGCTGGCGTCGCCATGGCCGCGCGGCGCGCTCCCGTCACCACGTCAGGAGGAGGAGGCAGCCCCTCTGGTGCTGAGGCTGACGAGGATGAGGAGGATGGTGATGATGGCGGTGATGGAGGAGCACCGTTGAGTTCGCTCTCGCGGTTTTCTCTCCCCCTTTTTATCCATTCATTCTTTTTGATCGCATTAAAAATTACACATTATAGTGACGCGAAGGGCAACACCGCCGATTTGACCCGATACCCTTCTCCGCCTCCCTCCCGTCTCCCGAGCCGAGACCGAGATGGGGAACGAAGCGAGCATGGAGGGCGGCGAGCCGGGAGCCGTCGGGATGATGGGGACGGCGATGCCCGGTGGACCCGCAGCGGGACCAGGGGCGGGACAGCACATGAAGCCGGTGAACGGATCCGCTGCCGGCGGAGGGATGGGAGTCGGAGGCCCCGGGATGGGGATGACAAGGTAGGAGCAGCGGTGGTGGTGGAGGTGTTTCGGGTGAAGGGGGCTGGGTGAAGTGTAGTACTCTACATCCCAAACACGGAAACGCTTGCTGGAGAAGCAGGGGATCAGATGTCTTTTTACGGAGATGGGATTACCAGGGTGTCCCACTCTGCTCCCCAGCTTCCGTGCACTGTAAGCGGACATGTGTTTTTCAGAGAGTCGCTGGGACAGATGCGGACATTAGAAAGCAGGAGCTGTCCGTGGTGCTGACACGCTCCATGCTGCTGAGCCTGAGCTGGTTCCACAGGAAGGTTCTCACACTGCGGGTTCAGGTGTTTTCCCATCAATGGTTGTGACACTGCTGCTGTTCTGCCCTCTGATGAGATTTTGTCATGTGCTCTAATAGTATTCCCCCCCCCCCCGTCAGCTTGCATCGTACTCAGGCGTGTGCGTGTTGCTTTGACAGCCTTCGGTTTTCTCCATCATCGTTTGAAAGCTGCAGAGTTCGAGGCTGTCCTTTGACGCTGGGACGATTTTATGCTTCATGTTCGAGATGTTGATGCATTTGGACCAAAAACCCGTTTTCCTACTCTCTCCTTCCGCTTGAGCGAGGGGAAGGTTTTTGTGTATGTGTGTGTGTGCGTGCTCGTGCGTTAAGGGGGCTTGCCTGGCTATGTAGGCGCGTGTTTGATGCTGCGTGTGTAGTATGGTACTATGAGCAATGCCACCGTTTCCCGTTAATGACGTAGAAACCCTCTGACGGACAGATGGTGCTTATAGCGACCGAACCTACACACACACCATGTCCAACCGAACTGAACCGAACCATGTCATGTGATCCAACATCTTTGAAATGAAAAGCAAAAATAATAAAATAAATATCCTTTATTCTGGGTGTGATATTTACAGCTTTCACACCATTTAAACAGCCAAGGACATAAAACATTCATTGCTCATTTCATAAAACCACATCAATAAACTGTAATGCGGCTTTTTAGATGAGGCGACATTAGACCTGCATTGTATCACAATTATGTTCTGTTCCATCCACTTATAATCTCATTTCATAACACACTTTAAACACAAATCACATTTTATACAGTATGAGTCCCATTCAGGTCAACTCCTCCTTGCTATAGAATAAACATATACAATGCCATAACAGCACTATGACATGTGACTTGTTATCTGCCCTGTAACCTGATTTAACATAACCTGGCATAACATCTGTACAGTATCTGTACATTAAACACACTTGCATGGGGTATAGCTGCAGCTGACATACACACAAGGGTCAGTGTGTGTATGTTTGTGTATATGTGTGTGGGGGGGAAGGGGGTGCATTTAGGACACATCCTGGGTTTGATTCATGCCTCTGTAGGACAGAGGAGCAGAGCAGCGCAGGCCTATATCCATCATTATATAACACAGGGACTGAGAAAGCAGATGACAGTTTCATCTCGCTTCCGACGAACGACAACACAGCTGGATGTGCTCTGGTGCATTATTTGTGCACTATACTGTGTTCAGGGGATTCACGATGATTTAGTTGTCTGCTTTGTTGCATTTGTATAATATTCAGAGTTTCCGGCGGCTTCAGCACGTCTGGTTTAAAATCGCTAAATCATCGCCCATACACTTTAAATTTATGTGGAATAAAAGCTCAGAGTATTTATAAAGGCGTGATACAAGGCCATGTGAACAGATTGAATCACGTGCAGAGCATGTTTGCTCACCCCCTGCCTCTCTTACTCTCTCACACTCACTCTCTTTTCTGCACTGCTCTGCCTGACTGCCTGCTCCTGTCCCTCTCGCTCTCTTTCTCTCTCTCTCTCGCTCCCTGTCTACTCTGCACACATATGTGCTTTACTTCTCTTTCCCTCTCTCTCTTTCTCCATCTATCTCTGTATCATTTGCACACATGCATCTCTTACAGCTATAGGAAAAAAGGATGTTCTTTTCTCTCATCCCCTTTCCTTCAGACTCCCTTTCTTTCTATCCCTCTCCCTCTTCCACTTTTGTTTTTTTTTTTCTTCTTTTTAATTCAGTCTCTGCACATTCCTTTGCCTTGTTCTCTCTTTCCATTCGTCTCTAGTTAACAGACCACTCAGGTATCATTTCATGCTTTTTACTCTGATAGTGTAAAGCACGATGTCAACATAATTATCTTTTCTATGAAGGAAGTGGCAGGCATTATTCAGTATGATTCATTATGCAATATTTCATCATCAAATCTGATTTAAAGAGCAACACCAACAATGTGTTGGTTGATTTCTCTCTCCATGGCAGTAGACACACTGAGATAACTGTAACTCTCAAGCACTTTGATTCACACATGATATTTTTTTTAAAGTAGCACAAATATGTAGTTTCACTTTTTAAGCTTGGTAATTCCTGAAAACAGATGTTCTGCTAAGGTTATTGAAGCAGGAGAAAATGTTGTATTAACTGGGAACACATTTCAGCTGTATTTCTAACATTTGTAAATGTATAGTATTTGTGTTAATTTATCTATGACGTTATTTTCAATCCGTTACCTCTGCTAACCCATTCCGTTTTAGTACAGATCCGGATCAAGAAATGGTTCCAGGAATCTTAAACAATATGAGATATGACACTTCTTACTGATTTCCCAGGTTCATGGATCTTGATGAGAAAACTCTTTGGGGGACTAATATCTATGAGTGTGTACAAATTGAGATTGCAGATTGATTGAATGTAAGGGACTGTTGGACCTTGACGAAGGTATACGCTCTACTGTGTGCCATAGTTTTTTGTATTTCTGGTCACAATGGAGATGTGTTGCACAAAGGAATAATCAGCAGGTTATGTATATACGTATATGTATCCATTATTCTTTTGACAGGATTCCTTGATGATGAGAAAAAAATGCAGGATCCTCGCACATGCCATTATTGTTTGTGTTTTTTGTAATGATACTATGTCATATGCATATGGACACATGTGTACATTTTCATCTTAATGTAATTATGTCATTATCCACCTTGTACAGTAAATTTCTCCTTTCATGAAAACCCCTCCCCCCCTGTTTCTTTTCTCTCCCTTGCCGCCCCCCTTTCAACCAATAACCACAGCCTATAAATGGCTCTGCCGCTATAATGATACACAGCACCAGTGCTATGCGGGGTATGGAAGTACAGATAAGGAGAAGCGAGATGCTAAAAGTGAGAGGGGAAATAAGGGCAAAATGAGAGTGGGAGCCGAAGGAGGTGAAAGCAGAGGAGGAAAAGTAGGAGGGAACAAGCTGGTGGAAATAGATCAAGTGCTGTCAGTTGTACAATGGTATAAACCATGGGGACTGGGAGGGGGGAGGGAGTGATGGGTAGTGATTAATCAAAAGACATATAAACCTGTTACCTGCAGTCAGAGATCATCCAAGAACAACCCGCAATATCAACACAAGTCCATTGTATCATCAGGAGAAAATGGTTAAATCACATATATACATGGATCTGTGAAAATATTAAAACTGGTTTGGTTTTAATGGTGAGGCAGATCAGTGTGTATCTGTACCAGTTGTTTTGAAAGAATTAATTCTTGACCATCATTAATGTAATTTAAAATTTATTTTGGAGTTATTTTCCATGGCTGCACGAACTGACTTGTACAAAAACACACCGATCTGCTGCAACATCAGAACCACTAACCTGTTTTAATGTTGCCACTGATGCCACATGTGATTTGATTTATATCAGCTCAAACCTCCTTACTGTGAAAGGACACAACAAAGATTAACATGAGGGAAACGGTAAACTAGCTTCTTCATTGATTTCAGATTTCTGAATCAGCTTTTAACCAATTACTTAACTGACTTTAATTGCTGGTGCAGAACAAGTATTTGTATGATTTTCTATCATGTTGAAGTAGTGGGCCCTTCGAGACAGAAAGTAAGGGTGTGGAGGTTTGTGTAGCATGTCTGATTTTAAAGCAGCAGACCAGAGTTTGTCTCCAGACTGAATCAACATTAGTGTTTTCAAGAGCCATACAATTCCTCCTCTGCTTTGGCTGCTCCCCTCTATCTTACATGAAAAGCTCATGTGCCAAAATCACAATCTTTTTCTGCTGTTGACTATGTGATTGACATTTATAGAAAGTCCTAACGATAAGTGACAAAACAGGTCCCTTTGTCATTGTCTTCTCAAGCGTCCAATGAGAGCAATTTAAAAAACCCCAGAATATCTTGCATAGGGATGCTGCCATTTTGTACTTGTTACATCATTCGGAGCCATAGTCTGCGTAGAAGATATGGTAAAAGATCTGTTCAAGCTCTGCAGAGCTGCAGTTCAGTTTTAATTCTATGTAGTAGTATCTCAACAAGCAAAAGCTTTCCACATTAAATATATATATCATTCACCATCATTCAAAACTGATTGGTGCTGCTTCTTTATTTTCACCTGAGTATTAATTTAAGTGCAGCAAGAAAAAGGGCTCTTATTTTCAATTCCTTTCACAGTTATCACTTTAAATGCTTAATTTCTTATCACCCCCTTGAGTCAACTCTATATAGTATTGGGAGAGTTGATTGATCTCCGTCATAGATTGCATATAAAGATAGCCGACGTGTCTCCATTTCCTCTTATGGTAAAAACAGGAAGCCAGTATGTTTACACTAAAATATAATGTGGGAGAGTGCTGGGTTTTAAAAAAGTTCTAAAAGTTTTAAAACAATCCGAACTCAAACTGTTTGAGTATATATTGTGTTTAAAATTGTGGAAAATTGCATCATTATTTCAATCTTTTTTTTCTGGGAGTGTTCCCCCTCACCCTAATTGACGTGTCTTTCATCTGCTGCACTTTGTGTCTTTTCTTTGTGCCGTCGTCCTTTACTTTGTGCTCCTGCAGAAAAGCTTAGACAGCACATACGCAAAACACCTGTCTGCTGCAATATGTATTTCTGTGTGAGACCTTGCTGATGCAGGACGACCACCTTGTGTCTGCTACGCTCCCTCTTTAAACAAAACTCACCATTTTAGTTTGACTTTCCCTCACACAGTTTTTCC